TCTATCTATCTCTCTATCTATCTCTCTATCTATCTCTCTATCTATCTATCTATCTATCTATCTATCTATCTATCTATCTATCTGTCTATCTATCTATCTATGAACCTATATCTCTATCTCTCTATCTATCTCTGTATCTCTCTATCTCTCTCTCTATCTATCTATCTGTCTATATGTCTCTCTATCTATGTATCTACCTGTGTGTGTGTATGAGACACGCCAATGCCATCATTACCCCCGTTTTGGGCGTTGCTTTATCGCACCACCAAACGAGAATGACAGGGTCACCTGCGAAAGGCTATAGGTGGCCTAACGCAAAAGGAGGACCGAGAGTTTTTGGTATTTTTTTTTTTTGGCGGCGGTATGGAGTGCCATGTGTGGTGCTGGTGTAGTCTCATTAAGTAATTTATTTATTTTTTAAGGACCCAAAACAACCTCAGAATGCCCCATGAGGCCGACAAATGCTATGCCTAACACACTGGTAATAAAAAAAAAAATCAAAATCAAAATCAAAATCAAAATAAATTTCAATCATAAAATATATATATATATATATATATATATATATGGGCAGGTGTCCGTTCAGGCCATCCACACACCTGTTCACCCACCCCCCTACCAGCTAAAAAAAAAAAAATCGGGGTTCATTGTGGCCGTGAATGGTGAACGGGGGTGCAACGCTGCCGCAACGTGACGATGGCGGGCGGAGGAATACGTGGCGCTGGTGGGGCCATCTGCCACTATCATCGACTGCCATCATCGACAGTGACTAAAAATTTAATTCCAACTCTTGAACGCACGTTCAGTAATTCAACACACGTTCAAAGGAAATTGAATACTCGTTCAATTCTCGAAGGTTGCATCAGGTTTCTCAGCGGAGTGAGGACGGACTGTTGGTGCTGCTCGCAACACTGGCACTGAGCCCTTTGGTCGGTGATGCCCACTTCTAGAGTTAATTGCGGGCCCTTGTGGGGAGGCATCTTCGGATGGTGGATTTCGATGAACAACTAGCGACCTAAGAGGACAACCACAATGGGCCTGCGCCAGGCATGACTGTTCAAGGACGCCGGGGAAGATGACAATTGCAAGGCCTAGAAGAAAAGTTATGTCATCAAGTATATCCGTGTGGGTCAAGATCTCGATGAGAGGATCTGCGGGAACCGCATCTTGAAGTGCTTCTTCTGCGGCCACGAGTTCCAGGGGAACCAGTACGTGGCGGGGCGTCATTTCACGCGGGGGAATGGGTGTATGTCAATGACCGACAAGGCATTGGTGGACATACACTACAATACGGATTACAATCTGGAGGGCAAGATCCCTGAGCGGATGCTTTAGTTCGAGGAGCTTCACAGTCCAACGTCTTCGATGGATCTGCGCCGGGACGAGGGAGGGGCGGCAGAGGCAAGGGGTAACGAGGCAGTGGTCGGCGTTGACAATGTCGTGAAGGTGGGTGCCCGAGTGGGGCCGTCAGGGAAGGACCGAGGGAAGGGCGTTGTTCACGAGGGGGGGGCAATAAGGGTGTAGTTTCATGATACTCACGCGTTGGCTCACGGACAGGCACATCGAGATACGGAAGGGGCGGCGACAGATGTGGAGAAAAGAAAGGAGAGAGAGGTGGGCACGAGGTAGAGAGAGCAAAAGCAGACTAAACTGAAAAACTTCCTAGAATTAAATAATCATTCTATAATAAAATTACATTCTAAATTTTAAATTTTCATTGCATTAAAAAAAATGTTATTCCAATTTTAAAATTTTTCTTCTTACTTGAAAACTTTCCTTGCAAGAATGGGTATCCCTTCTTATTTGAACTGCATGCTAGAGATGAAATGAAAATTTGGATGAGTTCGTGAAATATTTTAATTGGACTGTCATTCTAAGTAAAGATTTTAAGTTATAAGTAGGTTTATCCAATCTAAATTAGAAGATATTTGTTGTACTAGAATGCAAGTTTAATTAAAACATTTCATAAAATCTTCCAGACTTCCATTCCATCTTGAACAAATAGATGTAGTTGGAAGAGAAAACATATTTAGGGAATAGTCATATTTAGACACGAAGTAATCATTTTTTCTGTTGGATAAGACAAAACACCATCGCCGAGTCATACTCTTCATAATGGAAGATGGATTTCAAGAGGAGGTTCTTAAGGTTTGTCTACAGTCAACGTCAATCGTTCAATATCTTCCAGGGCGAGTCGTGGAAGGGCCTTGTCCGACACTTCAGGGACTCGTCGGGGCCAGTTAAGGTTTTGTGGCCTTCACACAATGAGATTACTGACATAGAGACAGTTGTCCACACAACGGACGATGTGGCGGCTGATCTCCAGGAGGTAAGAGCTCCTTTATTTGTCACGGGGCCTCCATCATGTCGGACGGCGGGAAGTCATGTGATGCTAGACCGACCGCTAACTTCCTTGCCAGCGGGTCACTAGGGGTGATGATGGTTAGGACGGTGAACAAGGAGGGTGAGCTAGACCGGGCTTTCGATGTTTTGGCATACTGGATCCAGATGTTCCACGACTTCCCTCCTAGGTGGGTGAATCCCATCTGCACAGACTCTGCCTCTGCGTACGTCGCCACAACAGACATGCTGTAGGGGCCTAAGTAGAACCCAGAGCATTGACGGATCTCATGGCACCCATGCACAGTGCATGTTTGCAACAAAATGTTGTCAAACATAAGTTTGTCGAGCTTGTGGCCGAAGGACATCATTGTGTCGGGAAGAGTAGTGGTGCAACTTCATTCAATAGCATAGCGCATCTCTGGATATCTGTAGGGGGCAGAGCACACAGATGGGTCTCATTTGTCCATGCGAAACACGTTTAGCATCCATATTTACAATAATGGAACATTTGCTGGCAGTGAGGTCAGCATTGGAGAGGATGGTAGACAACAACGATTGAGAAGTGGTCCCCTGACACGGTACTGTTCGTAAGTTGGCTTACTGACTTAGGTGGCAGGTGTGGCATGGCCTTTGGTTGGATTCCATGGACATCATTGTTCACTTTATGAAGCCCGTATACGACATGCTTCGCAGGTTGCACCGGGGAGGGCTACACATGTCACGGGCTGTTCGGCCGATGCAGGTGTGACCCTCGACGTTGCATGAGAAGTTCGCACACTTCCATCGGATATTACGCACTTCATTATGCAGATAAGGCAGGATTGGTACACTTACATGTTGGAGCCGGTGCACACTGCTGCTCACCTTCTCTCTTCGAGTCGGTGAAATTTCCGGTTTTATGAGGGCGTAGTGAAGGACTACGATGCGAGGCTTGTGCAAGAGTCGGCGAAATGTCGCGAGCTCAGATTACGAGGCCGCATGTGCACAGCTGTGCGACTTTCACACACAGAGGGACGGGATTGTCGGGGGGGTAGGGATGGAGACAGGAAGGCACAGAGTTCCACCAACAATGTGGAGACATATGAGGTGGGTTGTTGGTGGTGGAAGTGGAGACAACGCGACCCACATCTATAGGTCATTGCTCTTCGTGTCATGTACATACGGACGTGTTCCTTTCCCACAAAGACGAATTGGTCGGTCCATGAGGCTGTACATACGAAGAAACGTAACAGGTTCAAGTTTGAGAAGGCTGCGAAGTTGGTCGAGATTTCGGTCAACGTCTGCCTTCTCTCTCATCGGCGGGCTCACCGCGGGTTTGCTCTGTCGTGGACTGACGATGACTCGTTGTTGGATGTGGAGGGAGGCATAGAGACTCAGTTTTCGTGGGAGGGGACGTAGGCGAATAGAATGTAGGAGGAGCGGGAGAGTCAGAGACGTTCGTGGCAGCGAGACCCGTGTGGGTCGGGAGCTCGTCCGGTAAGGTTGCAGAGGTTTTCGGGACTCGAGCTGCCACATAGTTCCCTAGAGACGATAACAGTGATTATGAGGACAAGGAGCAGGAGGAGTGGAGGGGGGGGCTGTATGCTGCCACTCCTGCTGCACATGATGCTGATGAGTGGAGCGACTCAGAGGACATTAGTGGACGGAGTGGAGGGGATGACCTATTCGGTGGAGATGATTCGCAAGGCGAGGAGTTATGGGGTCGTTATGGGAGCCCTGTTGAGCGAGAGAGGCTTGCGTCCCTGGGCCCCGGGTAGTGCATGGATTTTATCCTTCGAGAGGGCAGTGTCAGCTTATGGTGGCGGCGTCCCTAGGCAGCGTCCCGAGCATGTTCGCAATGGCATGGCATCATCCATCGTTGTTCCCCTTGCGTCGGAGGAGCTTCATCAAGGCTCACCTCCCGGGGGCCGACTACTTAGATTGGTGAAGGGCCCAAGACAACGATTAGAGAATAGATTAGTGTGCGTTCCTTCGCTGGTCGAGGGGGGCGAGAGAGATAGAGAGGGTCTGACTGGTGGAGATGGTGGTCTGTTGGATGGAGGCAGAGGTGGTCCCAAGATTAATGAGGCAGTTGACGCAGAAGCTCTTGGGAGGGTTCGTGATGAGGGGATGCTGGCGGGCGGTGGCAGAGGTTTCAGTGCGTTTGGTGATTTGGGAATGCCCCCCAGAGAGAGCGAGTCCCGGGGGGCTGTGTTGCACCCCCTACGACATACGGGGGGGTTATCGTACGATCGTACGTACGACCGTATAAACGGCCGTACGGCCGTATGTACAACCCCGTACGGAAAAAAAAAAAGGAATCATTTTGTTTTGTTATCTCAAATTTGGTAAGGAATTTCAATATGAGCCTCAGGCAAAAGTGTTTCAATTTATTTTTTTTCATAACATATCATTTTTTCAGGGTTTTTTTTTTTTTTTTTTTTTTTTTTTTTTTTTCGTACGTACAGTCCGTATTCGTACGGGGGTCTACACAGTCGGGGGGATATTAGTGTCGACAAGCAGGCCACATT